CTTCAAAAGAGTTAGACAAAACTAACAATATGACAGTAACCCGTTTTATTCAATCATCGTTATCAGAATTTTTCTTGCCAAATGCAATCCCAGCAGAAAAGTTTTTGGTGTTTTTGTCTGATGCAGCACCTTATATGGTAAAAGTGGGCCAAAACTTAAAAATATTTTATCCTAGTATGGTGCATGTCACTTGTCTTCTACATGGAATAAACAGAGTTGCAGAAACGATCAGAACTGAATATCCGTTGGTAAATAAACTAATTTCAAATGTAAAAAAAGTATTTTTAAAGGCACCTCTAAGAGTGCAGCTATATAAGAAGCGATTGCCAGGCGTAAGTTTACCTCCGGAACCAGTAATTACCCGGTGGGGAACATGGATTAAAGCCGCGATATTCTACGCAGAACATTTCGAAGCTATTAAGGAATTAATTTTAGATGTAGAGGACAACTCGCAGTGTGTAGTGCAAAGTCAATTAATGGTGAAAAATGCGGATGTAGCCAAGCAACTTGTTTTAATTAAAATTAATTTTAGTTTTATACCAGATATAATAGTTTTATTAGAAAGTAGGAATTTAAGTTTAAGTGAAGCTATGATCTTAATTTTGAGTGTTGTATACCTCGAGCGAGTCCTAAAAGAGCGGCATATAAGCTGTGGGGTAATTGGTAATTGATGACTTCTGTCCGTCTACACTAAGTTTCGAATATGACCAGACAATATTTGCCTAAGATTCGGTGGCGTGCGGTAAAATTTGAAGGATGGAAAGCTATTTTAATACACTTTACCAACGACCAATACTTATAGTGATACAAGACACACTATCAACCCCCTAAATATGATACATTTCACTCCTTCTACATTTTACGACATATTATTAATCGCCAAACAATATTGATAAATTGGCAAAATAAAACTCAGTTGTTACTAAATACCTCTTTATAAAATGTTAAGCAAAACTTTAACACTCCTAAATATTATACAAATAGCTGAAAGCCGCTACGAACTAGAGATGAGATAAAGCGTGATTTTGAAATCACTGAATGTGAATGTGATTTCACTTGTGGTTGCCGTTTTTTATGCTCAACGATCAGTAGCGCTATAAGGTGAGGCATTTGTGCGTCACTTGCAGAAACAATTTTAAAACATTTGTAATTAATATTTTTTAAATATTTAGGTAGGTACACAACAACTAATATTTTATACTTAAAATACAAATAATTTTAAGTACCCTGAAAAAAATAACAGTCTCTGCAATTAGCGCCTGGCTACACATTCTGTAAACCCATGTACACTGAAAGCCAATAAATGAAGATATTCGTTATAAATGAAGCTGCAGACGTTAATGTCTTGGCCATTGCAAGCCAGAGTCCACAGATTTCAATTAGAGAGATCGCTGCAGAATCCGGGACTTCCCAAAGCACCGTAATGAAAGTTTATAAAAAACACAAACTGCATCCGTATAAATTATCACTATCCCAAACTTTATATCTAGCCGATGAGGACCTTTGCGTGAATTTCTGTACATGGTTCCGAAACAAATGATGCCAACATGACATGCAATTCCCTTATAAAATATTGTGGACCGACAAAACTCGATATGCAAATTGTGTTATGTTTAATCGATAATGGACATCATTGGATCATCTTTGGAATTAAACAAATCGACACCACGTTGAGCAAAAGAGACCACAAATTAAATTTGAGTTTAACGTTTGGAGCGGAATGATAGATTCAAAAATTATTAGAGCATTTATTTTTGAAGGCACCTTAAATGGGAGCTGATGCACCAAAAGCATTGAAGATACCGAATCTTCAATGATTTTGGAATAACCTGGATTTTATGTTGGACGACTTGGATTTGGAAACATGGCGTAATGATGTGCAATGGTTTCAACTTGATGGCGCTCCTCCACATAATTTTTCCCAAGTGCGGAATCCCCTGGACGTAACATTTGCTGAAACTTGGATTGGACGAAACGGCCCTATTTTATGGCCACCTTGATCACCGGATCTTTCCCCTTCGGATTTCTTTTTGTGCGGAGCCGTAAAAACACAGTTTGCAAAAACAAATATTTCCATTTGAATGCACTAAAAAAAGCTGTTGTTAGAGCATTTAAAAATATTAATGGCCGGTCCGCAAAAAAAGCAACTTATTGCGTTTTAAAGCGTTGAAATATTTGCATTGATAATAATGGTGAATTTTTTGAAAATGTTTTCCAATAAAAGTTTAAGTTTGAAGAGTTAATTTTTTATTATCATTGGTATGATTTGATTTTTATATAAAAAATAATAAACACTTTAAATGAGCAGCCGTCTTAATTAAAATAAAGTTATTGCAAACTTTGACGCAGTTGACAAAATAAGTATTGAAACATACTGTTATTATTTGTTACTATGGAAACAATGCTGTATGTCTTATACTATTTTCCATGGCTAACCTGAATCAATTATGATGCATTACAGAAATCGTAATAAAATGCTCTATTCGGTAAAGCAATAATCAAGTCTGGCTGCCATTAAAAAAGAACTCAAGTTTGTGTCGAATGTCAAACATGACAGTTGTTTTGGAGAAATGTCTTATGGCCTTTTGTTTGGAATTCAGTTTCCTACAAGTTTTATATTCAATATTTTTTTATTTATTTTCCTGACTGCGTGTAACTGTTATTGTATTTTTTTTCCTAGGTTTCAGTCAAAATGTGAAATTTAAACAATAATTGTAGGTAATAAATGTAGACAATAATTCAAACAAATGTGAGGTTTCAAGACAACCAAGCCTAAAAAGAATCTATTGTTTCTCAATTATGGGTTTATGTTGAATTTTAAATCTGATGATGGCACTGTTGTCTCGCCAAAACGTTATATGAAATAAACGATATGAGCATTTTTATTTCATATTTTGACTGAAAGCCAAGAAAGAAAAAATATAATTAAATATTTAATGTTTTCTTGTCAAATTGATATCACCGGAGCTAGGAGTAATTTAACAATTTACCATAAATAAGTTTTTTCCAGATATATCTCGAGAGAGCTGTCAAATGTTAGAAAAATAAAAATTAATTTTCAGTAGAACATTTAAAACTACAATTATTTGTCCATTTGACCATTTTCGTAACTGCTCTAGTTCCGAAGATACCTGTACTAGTCATCGAAAAAAGCTCGCCCGGTATATCACTTTTCCAAAATTCAGTCGAAGAAGATGCTACTTGTGTCTCCAGAATCCCACAAACTGCAAAAGGAAACGTGAGATGAATGCGCACAGTGCGTATTTAATCCACACAAGTGCTTATACAGTCCTTATGAGCTCAGAACTCAACCCTTATATTTTTTCATGTGACCCCAAAAATTTTATGTGGAAACAGAGATGCAGCCAGAAATATTGCATATCGAAGCACGGACGGCGATGGACACGAGGAATGCGCCTACAGCCGCTGCAAGCTGTATGCTTATGACCAGTATGACAAAGATAAAACCTTTTGATATTGTCTATGCTCTTGAGGTTGTATAGCGCGTCATGCCTTACAATCTTTCTTCCTTCTTGCATTTAACGTCCTATGCTGCTTATTACTACCCTAGAGATTTGTGTGGTTTTGCCATTGCCTAATTTGTTATGGATGCTCGTTTTTTTTTAGTTATGTTACTATTTATGTTACGTTTTATTATAAAAATAATACCATAAACTAAGAAGACAATTTTTCAAAACTTTCGGTTGGTCGACTTCTAGGAAATTATAGGGAAAACAATGCTTTCCTTGCTTCCATGGACCGCACACCTGCTACGATTGGTACATGAAATTTCTGCCTCAAAGGTTATATCAACAATATAACAACTGGTGGTTAAAAAACAACATCTCCAAAATAAAATATATGGTAACAAATTGCAGTGCTCAGTTTCCTATCTTTGTATTGGACAATTAAACTATTAAACAGTACGATCAGTTAGTGCAAGTAGCTTGGAGTAATAATACATCCAAATGAGGGACTACGAAATGATCATGAAAACGCCACAGATAGAGACCATTGGATATTGGGGACGGGAAGACGGCGAACAGCTATAATATCCGAAATATATACTTTATATAGCGATTAATTGAATGCTGAAATTTGTAAACATACCTTCGTAGTCACGGCTCTCTTTGGTGGCATATTTAGAATTCGGACTGGCAAAAGCGTTGTTCACCTAAGTAGAAAAAATAAATAGGTTATTTTAAGAAAACGGTAAACTTTTGCTGTTTTACCAATTATTGCGAAGCTTTGGAGGAACGTCAATATATTAGCTCTTAGAAGATTTACTGTCTTCTAAAGCACTGCCTGAAGCTATTAGCAATTTTACACTATTCACAAGTAGGATTGGAAAGTTGCTGTTGAAATTCTGACCACAGTTCAAAGAGGTTATAGATTGGAAACTGCCATATATAGTGATGACACCTTTGAATATAAAACTAACAGGAATGAACATTCCGAACTACTCTTCAGAAAAAGGCAAATATTGATTTTTGATTCCTCGCGGCGTTGTCAATTGGCCTGAGTTTTAGTAAAAGGTGTTATTTTATTCTCATGAAGTGGTAAGGTATGTATGGGAGTGGGACTTGATGATTTTTCGAATCCATGCCACCATGATTCGGCAAATAGCCGTGACTTGGTTCTTTGGGAATTATAGCAGCTCAAATAAAATAGCATTTGTTGCATCTGCGCAGTGGAGTAGTGGACAAACAACATTTAAATGTGTACAGGCGCTATTTATGCTTTCCTGGTCTGGACATGTTTCGATATATTTTTATATCACAAATAACTAAAATATTTAATGGCCAATTGTAACTTAAGCGATGACCGAGATGAATTTTAGTGATTATGATGAATATAGAGGATAGGATGCATAGTGTAAAAAAATAAACGGGTGAAATGAATAAAACAATATCTATTTTGGCATACATATGTATGTGTAATATGTGTTTTGCATAACTATTGCTAAATGTTTGTGAGAAGAGAATAACGGTATAGACTTGCTAAGTAGTCCCATAATATCTGCAAATGTAAAATTTTGGGGTAAGGCTAGGGGAGCTTTGAAATGACCGATCATTTTTGCATGTTTTCCATAATTTGCATGTTTTCCATAATTTGCAAGGCAAACATGCTAGAGTCAAAAATTATCTGTTTAATCTTAAATCTCGAGTGGTATTTAAGGAGACTATTTCTTCAATTTAATTATTTTATATGCAAATATCCATGTTATAATTTTTTCCGCCCAAAAAGTCATCGTTTCCACATGTACAGGGTTATTGATTGAACTTTGGTCACCTCGTTTTTGCATCTAATTTGAAATTTAGCGAAAAACATTAAATATAAAAGATGTAGACAACACCATCTAGTTTATTTCAAAACAATACCAATTGATACAGGGTGTCTCAAATTCAAGAAGCAGACCAAATTTATATTTTTTAAATGGAATAACGCACTTTTTATTGTAAATTCGAATTATACCCATAATTCTAGACCTATTCGATATCGATCTTCTATATTGATCGAACTTTGGCCAATTTTTTTGAGTTTTTTGTCAACTTTGAAAATTTCTGAAAAATCAGTTGAAGTTGGAATTTTAGTGAAATTGGGTCGAAAATGGAACAACATTGAAAATAGTATATTACGGTACAAGAGACGAAACTCGAAGTTACTGCTTAAAGTTGGCATGCACGCAATGGCAGGCCTTCCACTTTCGTCTCGCGTACCGTATACCATTTTTCTTGCTCCTCGGTGGAAACAAGCTGGGAAAAGTAAGTAAAAAGGCTTTGAAAAAAACAAGTCAAGTTTCAGCGTGCGTGGCGAAAGTTATTACTTTACACACGAGTTGAAGAAAATTTGTAATGAGTGAGTGATGCTTTCACAATCGAAAACAGTGGCGGAAGTAAGTAAACAGTTTATGCCTTTACAATCTTCACAATCTTTTGAGGAGTTGGTTTTGTTTGAAATTCCAATTTTATATTTTTTGTTGTTGATGATCGAAAAAATAAAATAATTCAAATTAAAAAAGGATGTTAAAAGTAGTGTATAAACGTACGACGTTTGTTCTTTACGATTGAAAAGTCGGTTGGTCCTCACAAATAATATTCTTCCTATTAATTTTTTTTGTTAATTTTTGACCTTGACGGGGGTACCGGCCCGCTTGTTAATTCAAGCAAGTATGTATAACTCGGTATTAAGCTTTTCCTTATTTTTTGTTTCACTTTATAGGAATTTAAAATAAATTCAATTTTCTTAAGGGCTATAAATGAACCATATGAAGAAAATTCGTGCTGATTAATTCGTTTTAAAATTTTTTGTTTTGAATCTGTATGCCGTAAAAACCTTCCATTTCATCTCTTAATGAAGAACCGGATGATTTCGTTTCCATATCGGGTTCTTGTTGTCAGATTCAGAATTGGAATAATTGCACTTTTTTAAAAACATTAGTCTAGTTCATAACGACTATAAATGTGCTTTTGCTCTTTCTACTTGCTTGTCGTAATAACAAAAAACTTATTATTCACGAACAGCGTTAGAAACATAATTAAAACCTTACGTGAACATAAAATAAACAAAAATACCAGAAGTTGAACGTTTTAAACAATCTAAACTATTGTAATAACAATAATTTTTAAAATAAAAAAAAATTGTCTTAGGACATGACAATTTTCCAAAACACACAAGTAGAAATATTGTCTTTCAAATATATGTATAATCTGCGATTGTTGACTGTACATGTACTGTACATACTTTACTGTGCCTCAGCCAAATTATGGATAAACAGCGTTTTTATTTGCTTCGTTTGCCTGCTTTTCATTATTTTGTTTAAAGTATGCCGGCTAGTACATATGTTGTTATCGAAAATCAGGCCCGGTCAAATTAAAGGCCTTTTTACAAATAGTTTTATTCTGTTGTGATATGGGTTTAATTCATCGATATTAATCATAAGGCATGTAGTTTACTATTATGATTTCTATCACTACAACATGACTATTTTAAATTTTTGTCTGATTGATTAAAAGCCGAGCAACATATTTTTGAATACTTACTAGACTCAACTCAACAATGGATTAAATATTAGAAAAATGTGTAAACACGTATACAGGGTGATTCAAAATTGGCGTAATTTCTCTGGACGTGTTGTCTGGGGGTGTTTTGGGAGTACATGAAGATGAGATATTTGCAAAAAACTGTATTAGAAAGACGACAACATTGTCTATTTTTTACAAACTGCGGTATTTTGCCTCTAAATATAAATACTCAACAAGCAGTTTGTAAAAAAATTAATCCGCCTCAACAATATAGAACTTATCTACAACATTGTTTATCAAGGTAATCTGCCAAATTAACATTTCGTAAACTCTTTTTGCTTGGTAACTGTTAAAAATTTTGGTAACCATTTTTCCGGAATTTTACAGAAAGTGACAATAAAATAGACATAATATAAAAACATAGACAAAAATAAAAGGTAAATTCAAAATGATTTGTTAAATGTGAAACGTAGTATTCGAAATGTCAACATTGTTATCATAACTACGAATTGATGTGGACACTATACAAATAAATAAACATTTCAGTATTTAACGGCAAACAAGTTAGTGCCTGTGTCATCCTCTATGATCACCTTATTATGCACTCGTCTCGTTTCTGCTCAATTTGAATCGGTGTTCAGTAATGTGTCCTTGTGCTTTGCGTTTCTTACATACGTGGTAGGAATGTAGATCTTCCTCGGTATTTATTTGGTGCCGGGGAGAGTGTCAGTTGTTGTTCAATGCTCTGAGTACCCCTGGAAGGCTTTGCTGCAATTATCTTCAATTATTGTTCCTCTGTGTCTGGAACCTGAACATCTATTGTCGTCATCTTTGTTGGCGTTAGTTCTTACAGCTTCTGCTATGTTACTGTGGCATTTTCCCAGAACTAATGGCAAATCCGTGATAGGAGCTTTAAAGTAAGCCACAGTTTGACCAAATTATTGTTATAATGGACAAAGGCTATCTATCCGCCTGAAACTAATTGTTGACGACAGAAAACATCATTGCCGCTTTGACTTTTTCTCAAAAAACTGTAGAAGATAACTTTTTTTATATAAAAATGTTCGTAATTTGACGCAATTATCGTAATTTTTCTTTTCGAATGCTTAACTATTCCAATATGCTACCAATGATACATAAGACAATTTCAAAATAATGCTTCATAACAAGGAAATTTTAGAAAAAAAATGTCAGTATTTTTCTCGTACTCTGCAAATCAGCCCCTCTTACTCCTTAAAATAAATTAAGGCAATTTTGATTGGGTTAGGCAAAATCTGTGCACGGCCATGCCTTATCAAAACCTTCAAATATCAATCACATGGATGCTTATTTTCCATATTTTATATATTGCTTGTAGTGTCACATGCATAACAGGCACTGAAAATGCATCCTAACGAGAAGTCAGTGGCTGATGTATTTTTCAATATAAAACTATCCAGACATCTCCAAAAACTATATGCAGTGTAACTTCCACGAAATTGCCTAACGTCACACGTTTTTATTAGTTTATTGTAGGCAATTTATCGTTTCCTCATTATTCCGAACATCAAAATTAACCAGTACTGTTTATATTAGTAATCCGAATAATAATAAAACAAGACGACAGTAGTAATAAATGATGTTTGCTTAATGCCAACAAAAAGGCGCCTTCGCATATGACTCACACAGGCGTAACAGGATTTTCCTGTCGAGAAAAGCCTTCTAGACAGCTACATTGTAGCATAGAGAAATTAATATGTATTTACGACAACTTGAAGCAAAGTTTGTCCAAGTCATAAATTAGTTTAAAGGCTTTGAATTTTCTACGTAGAAATTTCAAATATTTTGAGAATAGTAGTTTTCGATACGAGAGCGAAAAGTGTCGTTTTTCGAACGACGACAGCGTTTCACACCCGAGTCCAAGTCGAAGGTGTCAATATGTTCAAACACAGCATTATTCAATCCATTGGACGTCCATATGACAACGATTTTTGGACATGTGTCGGACGGAAGTCCATAATTTGTCCGATTGATATCCAATTGACATCAATTTTCTTATACAAAAGTTACAGAATTCTACATAAATGAGAGGTCCAGAATACGATATTTGACGGATGTACGTCTATGGGGTATCTTATGAACATAGCATATTTTATTTAAATTAATAATAAAACAAAAATTATGTACATTTAAACACACATACGTATATTAAAAACATAAAAATTAAATAACAAAAAATTAAATGATATACAAAAGATCGTTTTTGGCTTTCAGTTCATATTTTAGGATCCCATACACTCGCCTTAACCAGTTCTGGTCGAGTTTCGTCAGTTACTTTTGTTGTGGGCAGAATATTTTGACGAACTGCTGCAACTAAAAACGTAACAGAGCCTAGTATTAACAGAAATATTTTAGTTTGTATCATTGAGAAAGATTAGATTTCCAACTACACTCTACCTTCACTGATCCTTTTCCTTGATGAAACCTTTTCGGATGTCCAATGGATGGCGAAATTATTACACCCATAGGATAGCCGAAAAGGGTACCATGGACACTTAGCACTCTTTTAGACCAGATCTCGATGTCCAATTAATTTTTATTGTTGTTTGGGATTTAACGTCAACGAAAAATGGAAAGATCAATGCTTGGGATATCACTGAGGAATCACGTCACGAACGACGAGATAAGGCGAAGAACAGAAGTGACCGATGTGATCGAGCATGTGGCAAAGCAGAAATTGAAATGGGATGTAGCTAGAATGCGGAACGACCGATGGACTAAAAAATACTCGAATGGAGACCGCGCGCTGACAACCGCAGCAGAGTACGGCCGCCAACCCGATGGACAGACGATCTCAGAAGAGCTGCGGGGAATTGATCGGAGAGGCACAAAACTGGAACAGATGGAAGACACTGGGAGAGGCCTTTGTGCAGCAGCAGATGACAATAGGCTGATTGACGATGATGATGATGATGATGGTGATGCAGTAGATGTTCCCATATTCATGCTGTCAATGGCCTTCATTAGTCTCATCATCATATCAGCCCATGCACATCCACTCCGGAACGTACGCCCCTTCCATCCCTCTCTTTGCTTGTCTGCCCTGGGCTGTCTTCATCCAATTCGTTCAGGATTGGCGTTGAATTTAGTTACGCCATCTTTCTTTCGGTCGGTCCACTCTCGCTTAGATTGTTTGGGTCTCCATTGCATGACTTTTTTCGTCCATTTTACATCATTTCTCTCATCATGCTAGGAATCTGTTTCATTACATTCTTGAGTCTTGTTTTCCTCCAGATCTCCTCATTCTTGACTTTATCTCTGAGGCTCACGTTCAGCCCCCGTCTTTCCATTGCCCCCTGGAGAACCCGTAGCCGGTTTGCACTGCCTTTCGTTATTGTAACAGTCCCGAGTCCGTATATATCTACTTCAATAATCTATTCCGATAAGGCTACTTCAAGATCTATAATAAAGACTTACCAACAAATTAGATGATTACCAACCTTCTGAACAGGCTTGATTCCGTAAAGGCTTTAGTACAATTGAACACATGCCGTCAATCTGATCGTTAGTAGAAAAATGCAACGAATACAACGAACCACTACATCTTCGGTGACTATAATAAGGCGTTTGACTCCGTAGAACTATGCTATCTTTGAAGCCCCAAATAATGCAAGAGTTGATTCGAGATATAAGAACTATTGACGGGATACAGAAAAGAACAGTCAGGATGTTGGTGAATTACAGGAAAGGCTGGAAGAGCTCAGAATTGTTTTTAAAAATTAGGGCTAACCATGAACCTATGTAAAACAAAAATCATGACTTCACTTGATAATATTGTTGTGCGCTTCGGTAATCAGGTCATAGAAAAAGTTGAAGATTACACTGGAACATATTATTAAATTGGGTAAAGAAAATCGAACCGCCAAAATTATCAGACAAATCTGACAAACATGGACGGCTACAGGTAAATGATCATACATACTTAACGATAAAAATATCCCAATCAACTCGAAAAGAACAGTGCTCTATACTTGTATACTCCCCGTTATAACTTAATATGGAATGGAATGGAATGAGCTGCGCTTACCATGAAATCAGCTAATACACTTAGAACAACGCAAAGGGCCATCGAACGAATGATTCTAGGAATAGGAACTATACCATAGCACCTATAGCCCAGTTAAAATGGAGCTGGGTTGGACATGTCGCCGAATATAATGAATTAAAATGGACAAAACGCACAATGCAGTGGAGATGACGACTGCACAAGAGAAGTGTTAATAGACCCCAGAAACGTTGGCTGGATGACGTCAAAAGGAGGGTTGGTAGAGTTTGGCATAAGATAGCACAAGACAAAGAAGCATGGAAACCTGCAGGGGAGGCTCGTGTCCAGGAGTGGACTACAAAGAGCTGTTGAAAGAAGAAGAAGACGAAGACTGGTTACCAGTTGCTTCCAGGCTATTACTGATATTATCTCCTAAACTTACAAGTTTAGTGACAAAGTAACATTTGCCAACAGAAAATAATGCACAATATGTATCTTATAAAATTATTTATGCAAACATTGCAAAAAACCTTATATCGGAACTTTAGTCGATGCTCATATGTTGTTCCATATGACGTCTCTTAAGCAACCTGATGTTAACGAGGCTGTGTTGATCTGGGATTTAAGATCTTTAATTGGTTCGTTGCGGCTAGAAATATCCGCTCCAAGGTATCCGAAAGTTGTGACTTGCCCTACAATTTCATTATTTATAACAGGCTTACATCCCATTGGTTCCCATGTCATACATTTTGTCTTGGATATTGATATTTGCATATTAAATTGTGTGCTGACCTGATTGAATCTGTGAAGTTGCTTTCAAATTGTCCTTCGTTTCTGCCAAAATTGTCGCGTCATCAGCGTGGCAAATTACACTGGTGGGTTTCCTGTTGATCCAATACCCCATTCTTAAGCCACTGATTTCTTCAATGATCTCGTATCTAATCAGGGTGAACAGAAACGGGCTCGTCTTATACCCTGTGATATCGGTATGTCATTTGTTGTTTTATTACCAACTTTCATTCGGGTCGAATTGCCTGTGTTTAGGCAGTATACTGTATTTATAAATCTTGCAGGCGTTCGTTTTTTCTTCAAGATGTTGATAATGTCTTCCAGTCGGACACGGTCAAACGCTTTTGTTAAATCGATAAGACATGCAAAAGCGCGGGTGTCCAATGCTATTACATTTCCTTTTGTTTAGCGTATGATAAATAGGGCCTCAGTTGTAGACCTATTTATCCGGAACCCTTGCTGTCCGTCTTTAATTTCGATATGTTGATCCAGGTTATCTTTAATAAGGCCGGTGAATAATTTCATGGTGGAGCATAGAAGAGTTATACCTCTGTATATTTTCTCGGTTTGTTTTTTTGTCCATTTTTTGTCGTCGGGGATTGTTTGTGAGCTTAATATTCCACTCTTCTTCTTCTTCTAGCTGCTCAGCTCTCATCTTTGTGTCTCCATTGTTATCGAAAAGGTCATTAAAATATATCTCTCCCAGTTGCGCAGTGACACTCTTTTAGTTTGAACGCATTCTTTCACAGGATATTTTCGATTTTTAACCATCTTCCATACTTTCCTGTGAGCTCCATATAAATCGTGTTGCACGTCTTTGGCAAATTTTGCAAAGAACTCTCTCTTTGTGTTTGATCTCAAGCAAGTAACTTCTTTTTTTCATTGGCTAGCTTTTTCACCTGCTGGCAGAACCATGGTGTGTTGTGGTTTTGGCCATGCACGTTAATTTTCGCATTTTTCCGCGGCATTATGGATACACGATTTTATCCTTTCCCTGTTCCCATTGAAATTTCCTTCGGTTATATTTTCGTATGGTAGTTTGTTGGCAAGTGTCCGCTGGTATAAAGCTTTTGTACTGTATTAGTCCAGTGATTCCATGTTGTATTTTTCGATATATAGCGGTTCTTTATTATGTTTCTGATGTTTTTCCAGTGCTTTCTTTTCCAGCACAATATTATGGTGCGATTATAGCTCTGTTCGCTATTATATAGTCAATGATGGATTTTTCGCCTCTACTACAGAAGGTGTATTTATGTTGATCTTGATGTTGGAAAAAGGTGTAATTTTTTCTTGGCTCATTTCTGGCGCGAAAGTCGATTAGAGACTCGCCGTTCTCATTGGGAGTTGGTTCGTTAACCTTCTGTTTTACACTTGGAATTTCTACTGTACCAATTCGAGCATTAAAGTCTCCGAGCAGTATTAACTGCTCGGAGAGCTGTTAATACTGCTCTCCAAGAGCTATAATATGTTGGGTATTTGATCTATAATGGTTTGTAGGGAGTTATAAAAGCTTTCAGAGTATTTTTTTGGCTTGGATATATCGGTCGCATAGATGCTGATTAGATGTAGTGAGCCCTTGGGGAATGCCATGTTGATTCTTAGGATCCTACCATTTACTTATTCTATGTTTTCAATAATGTCAGAGTACTTATCATGTACAAGAATACCCACACCTGAGTCGGCGCGGTCTTGCTTTGGTTGTCCACTGTAGGCAAAGATGTAATCTTGGTATTTAATGTATCCCTTCCATTTCGCTTGGTCTCAGATATATCCACATGTGTCTATTTTATGTTTTTCCATTTCCATAATCATCTCCTAACATCTACCATTCCAAGAGGTGATACTCCAGCAGGCAAATCTAGTGGGAATAAATTTGTGTTTTTGCGTTCTCCTTGTCCTTTTCCTTGTCCTCACATGGGTCGCCATCAAAATCCGTCCATTATCGGAGGCTTGACCTTCATTTCTGTGAGCTGTGATTGCTTTTTTTGTGCTAGTCAGGTATCTAACCTAACCTTGGAACCTTCCACACTTTATCCGGGCTTGGGACCCGCAGCAACTGTGACGAAACTAATCAGTTCATCCCGTCCCAGCTGCAGGCGGTGTTTTCAATATTTTTCATTGTAATTCGTTTGAAATATTTAATTATGCTTAAAACAAAGTATGCAAATTAATAACAATAAAGTAATCCTATGTCAATATTGGCCAATGTATGGAGAAGAAATACGTCGCAAATTACACTGACCTCTAACTCATTAATTATTTCTAAATGACGTTATTAGGAACTGCAAAACGATAACGCTTGTATCCACATTTAAAACATTTTATGCGCCATTTTATGCCAGGAATGAAAAAATATTTCGTATCTATTTTATGCTACAACAATCAGAAAATGAACAATATTAATTTGATTAATTTTGCTTATAATTCACTGTTAGTCTTGTCCAAATCATTAATGATTCAAATTAAGTATTTTTTTTTGTTTTTCGATAACTTAATGGCAGGCGCGATGTATTAATTGTGAATGATCTCTATACTAATCTTAAGACACGCAGCACGCTTAAGTATGCTCCAAGCGAAAAAGCAAAATAACTTTACTTTGGCAAAGGCAAAGTTTGGTTTTTTAACTATGCTTTATGGTTAATTTAACTCATATGTAGGTCATAAAAAAACAAAGTCAGCTAGATTCGGTAATAACTTTTCGCACACATCTAAACGTTTAATTCATTACAAAAATAAATATTATGTCGATCTTCACGGTTATTATTATCAGACAGATAAGAAATAAAATGCGTATAATTTAGGTCAATGACTCTTTTTTATTTATTTCTCGGTCAAAAATTTAATGGCTATTTTGAGATAAATTAATATCATATAGGATGTACCCACCGGGTGACCCAAAGTGGACGCCCAAGGTCCACTGTCGCAAAATTGAAATTGTGTTTTAAAACTAAATATTTATCGAATTGAAGAAAAAGTAGTAATTCAGAAACGGCGTTAATGACCTTATCAACATTTCGTTATCCTAAAATTTAGCAATAGTTTCTCACATCTAGGCTGCCTTTAGGATTTTGAATAACCGATTTTTGCCTAAAAGTTGCAGGACTTTCACTTCAATAAATGGTTTGTCCTAAAAATCACTCAAACGGCAATTCAATTAAGAGCTTTATGAAAAACGACTGCCAATCATTAGACGTATTACTAAATGTGGAATTTAATTTACCAATCTCATTACCTAATGAAACAAAAGACAAGTAGTGATGTCAACTTTGTGCTTACATTCTAATGATCCAGAACTTATTTACTGTAAACAAACTGTGTAACATCCAGATTGACATAGTAAAATTCATCTTGTGCGTTTACATAACAATTGCTAATTGCGTTTTATAGAGTACGAAGTACTTATTTTAAATTCCGGTAGTGTGATTTTTTGGAGACTCTTTTTTTCCTTGAAAGCCTCCAACTTTTAACCCAAAATAGGTAAGTAGATACTTTTTTTTAATAAAAGTTACTAATATTCCTAAGGGCTATTGCAATGTGGAAAAATATACGCATATTTTGGATGTCATTAACGCCCTTTCTAAATTTGTTTTTAATTTTTGCTATAAGTGCACCTGAAGGACACTTATCAGTTTTCTTTTTGCCATAGAAGTCTTTGAGCGTCAACTTCGGATCATCTTGTACATAATATGTATACTTTAGTCTAACAATCCATGATACAAACCATGCTCCAAACATTGTAAACATATTATATAATAATTGATAGATATTTTTTTCAATTTACGGCTAACCGTACATACATCTATAAAAAGAACTCAGCTTGGATCAGTGCAGCACTATAGCATTTGATTATATTTGATTGGAGGATAAATGTACAATATTGAAAGCCATGTTTATAAGCGAAATATTTGGAATTTTATAGATTGTTTGAGTGAATCAACTAACTAATTTTAACCGCAATATGGTTAATTGCTAATTTATTTACAGCATGATGTAATTATTAATCTTTATTAATATTGTTATGTTCGCGGTTTTTGTGCATTTTGTCCTAACAGGCCTTGATCTGCTGGCGTAAATATCTGAAAAAAACATTAAATAGCGATAATATATAGGTCCTGCTATACCAGTGTAATTGAATCGTTTTCAATTGATAAGATCAATAATTGTTTTTTTATAAATTGGTGTAAGAAATTAGTTTAAAAAGGAATTAACGAGTTTAAAAGTACATATTTGAATATAAAAATATGTCGGGATCAAAGTGATGACTCCGTTTTAACAGTGTGAGTCCATCCAGAGACCACAAAGTACAGGGTCCGGCAATGAAACGGAAAGATTTTGCAAATAATTTTATTGTATAAAATTATATTTTTATTATGTTATTCAACTATTAATAAAAAGTTAATAAATAACCAATATCCTTATTGGATACAAATAGAGATCATCAATAGACAAATAGAAAAACATTACTTTCCCAATTTTGCATCAGTCAAATGATGTAATGATGATATTTTCGTCTGTAAAGTTCTCTGGTGCTTTCGCAGTCCATTCCCTGCAGGTTATGTCTTACAGAGCCAATTTTTTCCTGTTGTTCCTGATTTTTTGTATTTTGGTGGTACGTTTCTGATCTTATTCGAAGGGCTATTTTCGTAATCAAAAGATGATGATTACTACCACATGTAGACTTTAGACTCTGACGTCGTGGATTCCTGCGGAGGTAGTCTGCGGTATGATAAGATAGTCTATAATAGATTCGAGGTTTTTTGTGTGCTGCGACCATGTGTATTTATGTATCCATTTATGGATATATAATATATATTATTTTTTCCGTAGCTTTTGTTGTTGTAAGTGATTTCGTCTGTTCCCAGGCTGTTGACTCTGTCTGACTCTGACTGAGTAGTGGGGAGTTTTAACCTCTTACGAGCAGCACCAGGTAAATTGTGATCAGAGTTTTCTACCCCTAGCCTTTGGTGATACAACGCCGATTACTGCAAGGCAGCAGCTTCGTCTGTAATCCTAGACAGTAGGCCTTACAGGATGCTATCATCCGAGCCAGATAAACCCTCCCCTTTCTCCTTTCCACCTCTTCTATGATGAAGGCCCAGGATTAGGGCTGACTTAGCGGAGTTTGTACGAAGATATAACAACTGAAAAAAAATCAAAATTTAACTTTATAATTATCATGGGAGTGGGGATATCCTGAATTTTGGTAAATTTGGTCTTAGTCAAAGTCGGAGTAGAGGAGAAATTGATAAGACCTAGAATATTACCGTCTCTATTGATTTTTAATTTGTATTCCGAACAAATATTTGGAGAGGCACTGGCAGATGCTGACCTGGAAGAATAGAATTCCCAAATGGACAAAGATTAAATAACATCCGATATGTAGATGACAATGTCTTGTTCGCTGATACCCTGAAGGATTTGCACGGTTTGGTAGATAGAGTGACGATGAGTAGTAACACGTACGGACTTGACATTATACAAAGAAAACAAAAATTATGGTGATAAGTAAGGCCAATGTGCCGAATTGCAACATCGAGAGTAACGGCCAACCTATTAAACGAGTGAGTAGATATACGTACCGTGGCACCAATTTAAATGATTAATGGGATCACGTGCAAGAGATAAAAATCCGTATTAAGAAGGCCAAAGCAGTGTTCGAAAATATGAGTAACATATTTAAGAACAACGACTTGACGTTTGCAACAAAGGTAAGATTCCGGCGATGCTATGAGGCGTCAAGTAAAAGATTGGAAGCCTATGAGATGTGGCTCTACCGCCGGATTCTGGGGGTGTTGTGGACAGATCGTGTCAAAAATGAATCGGTTTTACAGATAATGAATAAAGAAATAAAGAAATAAATTCTAAACACCATCGAAATACGGAAACTCCAATACCTCAGTCATGTGATGAGAAACACAGACAAATATTGGTTATTTCAAAATATCTTGCAAGTCAATGTGGATGGAAATAGAAGTATAGGAGGAAGGATAATCTCTTGGCTAAAGAACCTTAGACCGGGTTTGCAATGACCACCACACAGTTGTTCAGAGCCGCAGTAAATAAAGTAATGATAGCTGATATAAGTGCCAACATCCGGAACGGATAGGAACTAATAGAAGAGGCAGAATTGTGCGAATAGTTCGAATATGCAATAAAAAGTACGGCATTCTATTTAAAAAAATGTAAAGTTGATCTGCCTCTGGAATGTAAGGTACCGTGTATCAATTGGCATTATTTGAGACGACATGACCTAATAATAGACGTTAATATCTACACAAGTTCAGTTTCTTGACCGATATCGAATAATTGCAGGAATAATGAATCTTGCTATTATAAAAAAATCTTCCTGGAAATGATAGAAACATCCGTAGAAAATAAATCTATCAACAAAAGAGCAGATATCAAAGGTCCGAGCTCTACTTATGCCAATCTAATAAACAGACGCAAAAAAATATAATATGAAAAAAGTACCATGCGTAAATACACAACATAATTTAATTTAATATAATAAATCCAACAAATATAATTAGATATACAGGGTGATTCAAAATTGGCGTCATTGCTCTGGGGGTGTTGTCTGGCGGTGTTTTAGGAGTACAGAAAAAATAGTGAAAAATTAATTGTTATTAAAAACTGATAAATTTGCAAAAAACTATATGAGAAAAGCGGCAACAATGTTTTTCAAAGTAATCCACCTAATTAACATTACGTAAATACCTGTTGCTTTTTAATTATTTAAAACTCCGGTAACCATGGATAAATAGAGAAAGTGACAATAAGATAGACAGGGATAAACGGTTAATTCAACAGGACTCGTTGAATAAACCTATTTCGAAACTGATAACCTCGAATTATTAATTTGTTTATAAATTACAAAAACATACTTTTGAGCTTCTCACTCCAAACAAGTGCCTTTGTAATCACCTTATTATGCACTCTTCTCGAGCAGCTTCTT